CATTAAATTGGACTAATAGGAGCCTTTGGATTTTAATGAAATTGAGTGGCTGAGATTCACTTAGCCATGTGACTAAGGGGACCCCCCTTAGTCACCTGATCCTAGCCCCTTCCTCTCTCTCTCCTCTCTTCTTCTCCCTCTTTAGGAGTCAAATCGTGGAATTTTTGGAGGCCGTTTTGAAACCCAACTTAGGTCGGACCAAGTCCAACCGAAGGTCCTATAGGAGTTTGACAATCTTGGGAGTTACCTATGGATGGCCAAAATCTAGATCAATAAACCAATAATGACCATTACGTCTTTGAATTTCTATTCTCTGTTCGGCAATCTTTTGTTCCGGGGAATAGCCTCTCATCAACATTGGGCAATCTAGCTGACCCGAACTCATGAGAGAAAATCACCCCATGAGAAATAGTCGTCTGCCACAAATGAGCAGAAAATGTTCATTTACTAACATCAAACTTGGTACACCAAAAAGACTAACGTAGTCTAACGACACAAGCTAGTATTAGCTAACTACCATTAGCTGTGAGAGATGGTAAATGTCGCCTTTTCTTTTCTCTTACACTCTTGTTTCATGTTCAAGCACAAACAACGTCAAAATTTACCAACTTACAAAGAACCATCCACCCAGCCACAAAATTGAAAAACCAACTACGCTTTAACAAGTTCTACAGGGGAAACTTTTGGCTAAGGGGAAAATAAAAACAGTAGATCGATCCTACCAAAGGAGACACAGCCATCCATCTCATTCGTCCTTTTTCAAACTGACAAGCAACTACTCGCGCCTGGTTGTCCTCCGGCGAGGAGCGCCCGTTGATGTGCTCTCATCCTTCTCCTCCTCTTTCTTTCCGCTGCTCCCTTCTTTACTGGAAACTTCAGTGGCTGCCGCAGGTGCTGGCTTTTTCTCAACCTTGACCTGCATAACACGAATCATTAGACTAGGCCAAGACAGAAAAGAGACAGGAACGCAACGTGATTGAAAACTTACTGGCTTCTTCCCACCAAAAATGATCTTAATGAAAACGGTGAGGAACACGACAACGATGGAAACAAGGACACCGATTGTTAGGTTTGGTTGCTTCTCTGCCTTTTCCACGAGTTCCTGCAAGAAAGTTGTCGTCACATTAAGGAAATCCACCCGCAGATACGGAATGTGAAGAATGATTTGGTGTTGTTGGAGTCGAGAACCAAAACAAGAAAAAGGCCGAAGAGAGTTTTGACTTACAATGATTTTGTCCTTGTGATCCTTCAAGAATGGAATATCCGCTATCTTGTAAAGGGTGTCAAATACCTTCTTCTGCAGGATTGAAAAAGAAATGCAATAATTAGTAACAAAACCAACACTATATAATGAAAATGAAAAGCAGACCAATCAAACGATAAACAAAATCGTCAATTACCTGGATGCCAGCAAGACCATCTGATCCAGTAGCTGCAGCCTCCTCGGCCTTCTGTTTCTCCTTCTCGGCATCAAACTTTGGCTTCCACTGTCCCTCCCGGTGCAGTTCTGCCTCTTTCTCGTCTTTAGCTATCAAGATGTTGTCGAACAAAATACCATCCTGCATCGTCCAGATCTCAATACCGACAGCAGCAATGGGTTCGAAATCAGGCTTCTCAAGCTCAAAGTAGTCAGGGTTGGCAATCTCCCTAGGCTTCCAAATACCCTTGTAGCTAGGGTTGTCAATCATAGGAGCATGCCATTTCCCCTTATAGGCAGGGTTGCTCTTCATGGGCCTCTTCCATTCACCACAACCAGGTGCTGACTCACACTTTGGGTTGTCAATCTTTGGTGCTTCCCACTCACCATCCTCCTCGTCATCCCAATCTTCTGGTTTGCTGGCCTCAGGGTCATCAATATCTTCAGGCTCATCATCCAACCAGCCTTCGGGTTTTACAGCATCCACATCTTCAATCTCCATGGGTGCATCTTCATCCCAGTCATCAGGCTTCACGGCATTGGAGTCGGGAATTTTAGCTCTCTCGTCCCAATCCTCGGGTTTCTTGTCATCTGGGTCAGGGATTGTCTTGGCAGGAATCAGGGCAGGCTCAAAGTCTTCTGATGAAAGGAAATTCGCCTTCTTCTTCTCTTCACCATCGACGAGAATTCTCAGCTCATTGTCTGGTTTCAAAATGGCAGTGTAGACATGGGTGAGCTTATCAGAAGGAACGGAAGGCGGGAACTTGAGGTGGTGCTCCACATACTCCCCACTCTTTGGGTTCTTGTGCTTGAAGATGAAGTGAACCTTGTTTGTGCCTCCGCATTTGTCTGGTCCAAACATGATGGAATACGGGGACTCATTGTCAAACTCCTTAGCTACCCACCCGGCTTCCTGTGGCCGAAGATATTTCAGATACGCACCACCACATTCAAGTCCGTTCTGGAGGCGGGTCTCAAACTGCAGGATGGTGGTACCCTCTTTCAGATCCGCTTCATTCTCAAGCTCTCTCACTATTGCGTACTTTTTAGCCTTCTCGCTCACAAGAAGGCCATAATCCTCATGTCCCTCACTCTTGGAGTGCTTCCAGACACCTAAAACAAATTCAATTTCAGTTAAGAACAGAGGGACCAATCCCCGAAAACCATACACAATCAGAACCTATGGCTACTCATTCAAATTCTTAACCTATTCCTCAACCCAGAACCAAAAACATTGAACAAGCCAGAAATTAGTCTACGACATCATCCCAACTATCTGCCCTAATAAAAAGTTTCATATATGGCAATGATCCCCAGCAGACCTTATCAGTACCAAGGCGACGGTACATCCAGACAACTCCCAGAAAGATCTCTAGGTTTGAAACAAATGAATAGCCGTAACTTCAATTAAGTCCGTCCCAGAAAGATCTCTCGGTTTGAAACAAACCTCCCGTTCGAATTATCATTGGAAAACTAGCATGCATACATTCACCGATCCAGCTCTCATCTAGAGATCAATTCAGCGAAAATCTAACAAAATATCTTCTAAACCGTCCGGATAAAGGAGTTGACAAAAGAGATCCAGACAAACGCAGGCCGAATCCAATTACCTTTGTAATCATCTTTTTCGGAGACGATCCATCGGCCTTCAAACGGCTCATCGAACGGCTCGAACAAGATCTACAATGGCACAACGGAGGACGAAGTATCAGCAAGCAACACATCTAATAACCGCAAATCAGGAAGCTCAGATAACCGGAAATGCGAACTCAGTTTCTTACCGTTTTGTCACCGGTCGCGCGCAACTGCGGGGCGAATGAGATTACGGCTAAGACGACGGAGAGTAGCGCCACTCCCACAGAGACCTGGGGCAGCTGAGCTCGGCTCATCTTTCCTTTCTTTCACGAATCCCTTCCAAGAGAAAACGCGGCGCAACGCAGACTCGCGGTGGTGATGGTTTCCCGATCTGAGTCTCTCTGCGATTGAATCGCTCCAGTAGAAAACCAGAGAGAGAGAAAGAGCTAAGCGAAGCGAAGCCCACTCACAGAGATGATCTCGATGAGTACGTCAGTACAGTTTGATATAAGAGGTGCACGGATCTTGGGAGCAAACCCAGGGTTCGGTTGGCGCGGCCAATCAGAGTGTGAGACACGTGACAAGCACCAATGGGTAGTCGCCACGTAAGAAACTCCAGCAAGGGGCTTCTAGCTTTTCGACTCTTCCAATCCGAGAAATAAGAAATTTACTAAACACGGGCTTGAGTAACTTGACCGAGTCTCGCTTGGCGATTTGTCGGTTTAGACGTGGGCCATTGCCCAAGCCCAATCTAAAAATTGGTTGCGACCAAGGTTGTCAAACCGGTTTATGCCGGTGTGCCGGTTTTGTAAGTGGAATGGTCTGACCGTGGTACAACCAGTATTCATACCGGTTGTGTCGGTTTTAATAAAATACATGAGGAAAATGGAAATCATCAATTCCAAATAAATTAGTCATGAAAAAACCATTAGAAGAATTATTTCACACAAAATAATTTATAGCTAAGAATTGATAACTAATACTAAACAATTAGATGCTTAAAAATAAAATTTTATTAAATGAATTTTATTAATGTATATATTGATTTGTGTAAAATTTAGTATTAGATATATAACATATAAGGTTAATATAGACAATAAAATTGCTTATAGCCTACTGGTTCGTAAGTTAAACTAAAATGAACATGAGGTACTTTGTTCAAATCCTATGGAGGATGTTTATTTTTGAATATAATGTGTGTAACATTAAATTCTGGTTTCTGGTCTAACCGGCCGGAATTTCCGGATTTGACCGGATCTGACCGGCATTGACCGGATTTGACCACAGGTAAATACCGGCCCCTTTCCAGTCGGTTTGCTGACCAGTACCGGTTGAACCCGGTTGAACCGGCCGGCATAAAACCGGTTTGACAACCATGGTTGCGACGGTCCAGTAACCCTTCGTTCCTTAGACCATCCACGCGGTCACGCGGAGTGAAAGGGTAAAAATTCCTCCATTAGGTTCTCCTTCACAAATATCTTTCATTCCGAGTCTTCGGGGTTAATTGTATTGTTGTGGAGATTGCTATTCATTGCCCTAAAAATCTTTATTCGTAGTCCTAATTATGTTAAAATTACTTTAATGTCCTTACTTTATTTTTTGGTCTTTCAAATACTTAAACCCTAAAACAAACACATCCACTCGTCACGACGAATAGCGATTCAGTTTATAATCTCTTTAATTGTTGTCTTGATTTACGTTGAGTAAGCGTAATCTCTTTTAATCCTTTTTAATCGTCATCTGTCTGTCCAAATTTCTCTCAGTAACATCGATGATGATCATCCTTAAGGCCAAGTCCAATGCAAAACCCCAAATTTGGGGGCCTTGAACCCCAAATTTGGGGATTGAACCCTATTTTCCCTTCTTTTGCTCCAATGCAACAAACTCCATATTTGGGGTTCTTAATATTTCCAGTTTTTCCATTTATTTAAAAATGTACTTATCGAAACTTTAATATAATTTGTTCATGTTAATTTTTGTATAGTTCGTCATCATTTTTAAATATAAATTTTCCAATAGAATTTTGTTAAATTTTGAGACCGAATTTTTTTTGGCGAAAAATTATGGACCTAATTTGGGTTTACACACAACACTTGAAAATGATAAAGCTTAACGAGTTGACATAATAATTAAAATGGTACAATTCATAGGTTACACACAACACTTGTTAATCATAAAGCTTAAATATTACACACAACACTTGAAAATGATAAAGTTTAAAAATAACAGACAACACTTGAAATGATAAAAAGGAAACACATAACATGTCAATAATCACCCAGAAGGGAATAGTAATTCCTGTAATCTCCTCCACCTTCATCTCCTCCTCCACCTTCATCTCCTGCTCCATTTCCATCTCCACCTCCGGTTTGACTTGCGTTGGATGAATAGTCGGGAACAGAGTTGGGATCATCTTGATCATACCCTAGGAGCATGTTTTGATGATTTTTGGAAAACTTCCTCTTTCTTGGTGTCAACTTCGACAAGTCCTTTTCAATAAGATCAAGATTGTTTCGAAATAGTGCTGCTTCCCTCTCTTTTTTCTCAACTTCCCACTTTTCTTGGTCACGCTTTGATTTTTGTTCTTGGAATTCCATCATTCTTCGCTCATACTCAGTCCTCAAAGCATGCCTCTCCTTCAAATCACTTCCATACTCCAGCAATTGAGCAGTGTAGCTCTCTCATGACTCGGCAACCCCCTTTCCTTTCTCCTTAGCTGCCTTCTGTTTGTCGCGTCCAGCAGGGCGAGATATGACGAGTGGTGGAGTTTCTTCGACGAACGGTGGAGTTTCTCCGACGAACGGTGGAGTTTCTCCGACGAATGGTGGAGTTTTTTCGTCTCCTTCTGTGTCATTGAGGTCTGTCTGTGGTGTTGATTGATAACCACGACCCATGGGAGAACCATCAGAACCTTGACTCATGCGGCTTTGATTTGAAGATGGCATTATTATCACGGTATGAAATTTTTGGCATCTTTTCAAGATCCACCAACAATGACCAAAATTCCACCCCTTTTCTCTGGTCTCGCTTAAATAGAGTTGTTCTGCCATATGCTCCTATACGTACTGTAACACCCTACCCTATACGTTTTGCCTAATCATATTGTTCATACAATTGCAGCGGAATTAATCTCGGGTGTTACATTAATTATCAAAATTTACCTAAATAAAATTTCGACATGAATTACTCGCGTAATGGGCTAACAGTTCTTGCAACTTATCCTGCAAAATAATTCATCACAAACATATATACTCACAACCATTGAACCATAAGCATTGGCTTTCATAGCCAAAGTCACAGTTTCATACTACACGACTGCATACTATGCTGATACAAGCCATAATCGTCACAACTTATATAATTACAAAAATATACACATATCATCAACTTTCCACACCTGTGGATATCTCACACTACATCAGAAGCTAGTATGCACATGAAAAACGTTCTCAAAACATTTTTACAAAAAGGTGTGGATCACTGGCCCAAATCCCGAGTAGTAGTCCAAGCACAGAGTAGTTGAAGATCATACCTCATCTTGCCTTCAACTCTTGCTCAGCTCCCACCTATACACCTATCTACTGCTGCTGCTGATGATTTGCTTACACATAGCATAAGCAGAGAAGAAGAATAAAAGAGGGTCAGCTCATAGCTGAGTGAGATAATCATCGCATAGTGAGTTCATAACCAGCATACCCCTACCATACATCTAACAATCAAGCCAAAGCACTAGGATCAGATCTCAGCCCTCCGACATCCCAATAGGCAAAAGACTCAACCACCTTGACTTATGCATATGCATCTTATCATGTTTTACTTATAGGCGCCTGGCTACTCCCATGCTAATAACTCTCCCGGGAAACATACCCAACATCCCGTCGGATGAAGTCATACATACCCCAACATCCCGTCGGATGTGGTCATACATACCCCACACTACTATGGGTGTAGTCATACCCCGACACCACTCTGGGTGTGGTCATATCTCGTGAGAATTCTTCAGTCACCACCACATGAGAGGTGTGACTATCATACATATCATAAAAGAGTTATAGCATAGGGAGCCTAATTACTACGTAGTTGACCGTGAGACCACAACACTCATATTTGGTATCCTTATACATGATTCATATCTCATCTTGCTTAATCATAATTCGTTACTTGCACATGTACTTGACCTGGCCACAATTGGCTCAACATAGGTAAATCAGGAGTCATATAATTGCACTTCCTCGGGATAAACCCTCGTGCAAGTCATCCTCCTTAAACATCATAATATCACCAGGGAATATATATTTTCCCACTTGTGCATCCAAATACAACAATCATGAAAAATCATACCTAATCACCTTCTCGAACCATTGTAAAGCATATTAACAGTCAAGCCCACAATTTGCAACATATACAAAATCATCAGCATAAACAAGGTTCATATCGATTAGGGCAAGTCAATAATATCATACAGCAATCCAGGGTTCAACATATAGCACAAAAGCTCATACACCCCTAATCATGCCATTCTAGTTCACCTAGATCAATTCTAAGCATCAATATAATTATCGTGATACGACAAACCCGGTATGCCGTGCTAATTCCTCACCAGTTCTGGTCGTTTAAACACCGGTTCTAGCCTCCCGTACTAAAACGTCAATTTCACGAACGAACCCCGAATTAAAATCCGAGACCGTCCTAATATCCCCTGCAGTATCCCCGTCAATATTAGTTCTAGGCTTCGGGTCAAATTCTTGATAAAAACACATCAAACCCTGGCCGGAGCTAAATTCAGCGGTTTGGACCCCGGCATAAATAATAGCCGAAATTCAGGGATTAGAACTAGAGGATTGATTACCTCGCTGCAGGAAGCTCGTATATGAAATTTGGGCTCAATCCGGCTTCCGGATACTCCGAAACCCTAATTTGGCTTATCGGGAATTCAAGAAATTCCTGAACCAAAAACTCGTTTTAAAGCTCTAAATCGATAAATCACGCTATATGGATGAATTAGGCATTACTTACGAGATTTTTGGATCACTGTAGCTCAAGAATCGAGCTGGAGAATTTTTCCCCCGACAAACCCCTGAACTTCGCTTGCTCTGCCTCTCTATCGGTTCGAAAGTGGAAGAAAGATGATGGTGATGAGAATAAAAGGGACGGGGGAAGGGTTTATATATATATATGCGGCCGGCATTAATTAATTAATTATATATATATGTATAATACGTATACTTATCAGACCGATCGATAATCCGATTTTCGTCAAAATACTATTAAAACGCTCGATTTTAAATTGTGAACTTTCTAGCGATCGAAATATGGGTTTAGCTGAAATGGGATGTTACAATTCTCCCCTCCTTAAAAGATTTCGTCCCCGAAATCTATCCTTGAGTCATACCTTAAGTCTGCTTACTTATCCTTAACATGGTCTATCGTAGATAAACCATTACCTAACTCTTAGGTTAGGCGATTCATAACATAGAAAGTAACACATAACAGCTCAAGTTCCCACGTTTAGGTTTCAAAAACCTATACTGGGCTATCACATCAAAAGCACATCAGCAAGTTCAAAACATAACTTATTAAGCAAGATTGTTAACCTGCAAAGTATGTCGCTACCAACTCAGGGTACTTCTCTCGCATACTTGCTTCAGTCTCCCAGGTAGCACTCTCACTTTCTTGATTCCTCCACACAACCTTCAACATTGGAATTTCCTTTCTACGAAGAGTCTTAATCTGAAAATCAACAATCTCAACTGGAACCTCTTCAAATGTCAAATTTGGACCCAACTCGATATCTTCTGGTTGTATAACATGGGAAGGATCCACTTTGTACCTCTTCAGCATACTAACATGAAATACATTGTGGATTTGTGATAGTTCTGGAGGCAATGCTAACTTATAAGCCACTGGTCCAATCTTCTCTGTGATTTCATATGGCCCAATATACCGAGGTGTAAGCTTTCCTTTCTTACCAAATCTCATCACCCCTTTCCATGGTGACACTTTGAGAAATACTTTCTCACCCACTTCGAAATTAACTTCACGCCTATTCGTGTCAACATAAACTTTCTGTCGATCTTGAGCCACCCTCAAACGCTCCCTGATTTCTTTGACCTTGTCAACTGTGATCTGAACTATCTCTGGCCCTGAAATTTGCCTTGCTCCTTCTACATCCCAACATAATGGTGTTCTACATTTTCTCTCATAAAGTGCTTCATATGGTGGAACACCCAAACTACTATGGTACTGATTGTTGTAAGCAAACTCAATAAGGGGCAAATGGTCAATCCATGATTCCTCCCATTGCATTACACATGATCGAAGTAATTCCTCCAAAGTTAGGATGGTTCGTTCACTCTGCCCATCTGTTTGAGGATGATAAGCTGAAGTAAAATGCAGTTTAGTTCCCAAGGCATCATGTAAACTTTGCCAAAACCGAGATGTGAAGCTCGGGTCTCGATCAGAGACAATAGAAATTGGCACACCATGCAACCTGACGATCTCCTTAATATATAGTTGAGACAAGGTCTCCACTGATGGTTTCCATCTAATGGGTAAAAAGTGAGCCGATTTGGTCAGTCGGTCCACAATAACCCATACTGCATCTTTTCCCCTTGATGATGGGAGACCATATACAAAATCCATTGTGATTATTTTCCACTTCCATTCTGGAATTGGAAGTGGTTGCAGTTTCCCACAGGAGCTTGATGTTCTGCCTTAACTTTCTGACATACCAGACATGTGAAAACATGTTCAGCCGCTTCCTTTTTCATCCCACGCCACCAAAAATATGGTTTGATCGTGTGATACATTTTAGTTGCTCCTGGGTGCATAGCATAAGCAGAAGAATGAGCTTCATCTAGGATCTCTTTCCTCAAGTTATCAACATTAGGAACACATGCTCTTCCATTCATCTTCAACATGCCATCTACCATTTCAAATGGGCTTACTTTTCCCGCCTCAATGTCTTGAATGATTTTTGCCAACTCTGGGTCCTCCTTCTGCTTCTCACGAATTTTTTCGTGCAACAAAGGTCGAATGTTCAACCGAGCTAGTAACCCTGTTACACCATCCACTTCCAAATCAACATTCATTGCCCTCAAATCAACCAGATCATTTATGTTCTTTTTCCCCTTTTCTGCTCAGAGCATCAGCAACTACATTAGCTTTACCTGGATGGTAATCAATGGTACAATCATAATCTTTCAACAACTCTATCCATCTCCTCTGGCGACTATTTAAATCCTTCTGATCCATAATATACTTCAAGCTTTTATGATCAGTGAGGATTTTAAAAGTCTCACCATACAAATAATGTCGCCAAATCTTGAGAGCAAATACCACCGCTGCCAACTCCAAATCATGGGTGGGATAATTTACTTCATGAGGATGCAATTGCCTAGAGGCATATGCGATAACTCTTCCATCTTGCATTAACACACAACCCGGTCCTTGATATGAGGCATCACTATACACCACGAACTCTCCATGGTTTGAAGGTAAAGCCAGTACTGGTGCTGTGGTCAATTTCTTCTTCAGATCATCAAAACTCTTCTGACATGATTCATCCCAAACATAGTTGGTATTCTTCCTCAATAGTTTAGTCAATGGTGCAACAATTTTGGAAAATCCTTCGACAAACCGCTGATAATAACCAGCCATGCCAAGAAAACTTCTAAACTCGGACACATCTTTTGGTGGAGCCCAACTCACCACTGCTTCCACCATTTTCGGATCCACCTCGACACCTCTTCCAGAAATTACATGTCCCAGAAATATTACCTCCTTCAGCCAAAACTCACATTTTGAGAATTTTGCATATAATTGTTTCTCCCTTAGAATTTGCAACACAATTCTAAGGTGAGTTTTGTGCTCCTCCTCTCTTTTAGAATAGATGAGAACAATGTAGTCAAAATCGCGCTTTAAAACTTAAAAACTTACGATTTTACGTTTCTAGGTCACTAAAACGCTTCTACACAAAATCTCAGTTTTTATAACTTATGTAGTTAAAAACTCCGTTTTAAAACTTAAAAACTTACGATTTTACGCTTCTAGATCACCAAAACGTTTCTATGTAGAAACTCGCTTTTGACTACATTGGATGAGAATATCATCTATGAACACAATCACAAACTTATCAAGATATTCATGAAAAACTCTGTTCATAAGAGCCATAAATACTGCTAGTGCATTAGTGAGTCCAAAAGGCATTACCAGGAACTCATAATGCCCATATCTTGTTCTAAAAGCTGTCTTTGAGGTTGCTCCATCTGCCACTTTCAATTGATGGTATCCAGACCTCAAATCAATCTTAGAAAAGACTGATGCACCTTGCAATTGATCAAACAAGTCATCTATTCTTGGGAGGGGATAACGATTCTTCACTGTCGCCTTATTCAACCTTCGGTAATCAATGCACATTCTCATGGAACCATCTTTCTTCTTGACAAACAAAACCGGTGCACCCCAAGGTGAGATGCTAGGTCGAATAAACCCCTTGTCTAGCAATTCTTGCAATTGTTCTTTAAGCTCCTTCAGCTCAATTGGTGCCATTTTATATGGTGCCATTGAAATTGGTGTTGTGCCAGGTACCAATTCAATATCAAACTCTACTTCCCTTTCTGGTGGAAGGTCGGGAAGTTCTTCGGGGAATACATCAGTAAACTCCCTTACCACCTCTACATCCTCAACCTTCTTATCATTTACAACAGCAACTTGAGAAAGAAAGGCTTCACAACCTTCCTTCACTAATCGAAAAGCTTCCAAGGCAGAAAGAAAACCATGAGTCTCCTTTTTCTTAATGCCTCGGAATACAACAGGACCTTTATCTGGTGTGTTGAATAACACTTCTTTCTTTTGACAATCCACAACAACTCCATGTGTTGCCAGAAAGTCCATTCCAAGGATGACATCAAATTCATCAAAAGGTAGCAGAATTAAATCTGCTGCTAGAAAAGCTCCTTCCACACAAATGAAGGAACTTATAATAACTGAGTCTACCTTCAAGGTATCTCCCACAGGTGTTTTAACACATAAGCTATAACCTAGCTTATTTGGAACTAAGCGTAGCATATGTGCAAACGTATATGACATGAATGAGTGAGAGGAACCAATATCGATCAAAGCATATAATTGCTTGCCAAGGATAGAAAGCATACCAGTCACAACTTCTGGTGCCACTTCTGCCTCACCTCGAGTCATTGCATAAACCCTCGGTGCTCCCTGTGCTCTGGTACCCTGCGTACCACTTCCTGATGGCTAATTTCGACCACCACCTCTACCACCCTATGAACCACCACGACCACTCTGAAATCCACTACGGCCTCCCTGGTAACCACCCCTGAATGGGGCTCTACTAATTTGCAGTGAAGGCTTGGACTGTGTAGCTCTTACTTCTCTCGCATGCGGGCAATCCCTCATGATGTGCCCAGGTTGGCCACAGTGAAAGCATACACCAGAAAATCTCCTACACTCTCCAAGATGCCTCTTCTGACAAACTTGACAAAATGGAAATTGTGTGGCTGAGGAAATTGGTGCCCTGTGTGATGTTCCCGGCATAGATTGACTTGGTGTTCTCCCAAAACTGGTGGGACCTCTCCTGGGTGGGTAACGAGGTCCAGCATAATGTACTCCAAACTTCCTCTTCTTCTCCTCTTCTTTGCCCTTGTGTTCCTCTCGGCTCTCAACTTCATAGGCTTCATACTTAAGTGCTGCCTCCTTGATTGTGGCCATGCTCTCTTCATCAACCTTGTGGATCTTTTCTTTCAATCCTATTCGCAGACCATGCAAGTATCTCATCTTCTTCTTATGCTCAGTATCCGCCAACCCATCCTCAAAGTAAAGTAGTCGAACAAACTTGATGGTGTACTCAGTAACTGTCATATTCTCCTGCTTAAGGTTGGCGAATTCATTGTTCTTTGCCCTGATAAAAGCTTCGGGAAGAAACTCTGTCTTAAAGGCCTTCAGGAACTCATCCCAGGTGAACTGAACTCGTTCATCATTAACTCTAGAGACTGAGGACCACCAGCTCCTCGCATACCCCTTTAGGAGAAAAACAACATATTGCACTTTTTCCTCTGGGGTTGCATAAAGATACTCAAACACATCTTCCATCTCTCTCAACCACTCTACTACAGCA